CCCTCCCCCCATCTTTCCCAGTGTCCCTCCAGACTACCAGTCAGCCACCAGAGCTGTGCTGCCAGTGGTTTGATTCTGCCCAGTCCAATTATAGAGGCCTTAATTACTGAGCCTGTCAGCCTCCATCAGGAGGACCATTCGTCATGTGGACTGGGCTGGACCAGACTTAACATGGCTGCAGGCGTTTGGTGGGGGCTGTGCTGGGTGCAGGGGGACACACATCTGTCTCATTTTCAGTACCTGCCTGTCTGCCTGGAAACAATTTTTTATCTGGACTGGACGTTCCTCTGTCAAATACAGAAGAGCATTAACTTAGGGACACTTACGGGGACAGCTAAGCAGTCCACTCACAGAGAAAGTTTTTCTAAACTTATTTTGTGATCACACCTACACCCGTTAGCAATGAGTAATGAATACCAATTTTGCGTCCATCGACTCGTGCATGAAAAGGCTTGTTTTACTGCTGCAACTGCTATTAATTAATTTGTCAAATACTCATTTCCTGAATATAACTTTGCAAATTAACATACATACAAACAATTATATCAGGTCCCAGTTGAGCAACAATCCACTTAACAGGACAAAACAGTGATAGGGAACATAGATTAGGGTTAGGGTTAGATTAAAAGTAAAGTAGAAAACATAATATGGCGGAACCATAAGCAAATAAGAAGAAAAGACACTGACCTCAGCACATAATCCAGACGACCAGACTTCAGTAAAAATTCTTCCGTTCTAAATATTTCATAAAAGATCCCTACATTGTCATTAATCACAGAAGAAAGCTTTTCACTAGCAAGCAGGGATGAGACAATATACCGAAATTCAATGTGTCACCATACAAAAACATCCCAATATGTATGTTTTTGTCTAGTGATATATATATATATCATGTGGACTCCATTCATCAGTGACTTCATGTTTTTGTAAATAGCCTAACAGAACGTAAGTCAGTATATCTGGTTGTTCTTTACATAATCAAACCGGTGCTACAAAAGTCCAAGTATTCCACAGCTGGTCATACATCACTGTCATTGAGTTTTTAATTGTATCATGATTGAATCTAATCGTACACACCGTATTGTGCATCAAATCATATTGAGAAAAAGTCACATTGTCCCATCTCTACTAGCAAGAGAATGAGCCAGATCTGTTGACTGATTTCCAGTGTTTGGCTACAGTATGTTTAGCGTGTAATAAACAGAGGACAATTTTTTTTAAAATCTGCATTACTGTAGGTTACATTCTGCAGGAAAAATTCCCAAGACATGTAACTTGGGGGATAATAGTATGTTAGGTATTTTTTAGTCAGATAGATATTGGTTAGATATTTGTTGTATTAGAAATGTCTTTAGTGGAGACAGGATGTCTAGCTCAGGCTGTTAAATGCTTACTCATTTCCAGGAGTTACTCCAGGTTGTTTATGTTCCAGGATAACTAGATAGAAAGTGGCTATTGTATGATATGTTTAGCCGTAATCTTAATCATAATATCTTCCGAGGCTTAATGTCCGGACATGTCCCTGAATGTCCTGTATGTTCTTAGATACACACCACATGATCAACACTCACACACATTGATTTTCTTCATGTTTTGACTATTGTTATGGTCAGCTGTGAAGCTGGCATATCAGGTGACGCCACGGTTTGACGTGCCTGTGTAGAATGGGGTTAGCCCAAACCAGATAAAATGTACAGGCCTGTTGGGTTCGGAGTCTTTCATTCTTCATCTGCCTGCGCGCAGGATTGGAGGTGGAAGATGCCTGGACGTGTAATGTTAATATTACCTGTGATTCTTCGAATAAACCAGTACGGTTTTTTTATATATCCAAGTGGTCCGCTTCGTCTCTCTGAGTTCCTGGTTAAAAGAGCTGGGAAATATCTTTCAAGTAATTTTCTGCAGTACTTCTAACCAAAAACTCGGACTGCGGAAATCCCACAGGCAGTGTCAGTTACTTTTTCAATTAATCAATTCACCATTTCGTCCATATATAAAAAAAAAAAAAGATAGTTACAGCTTCCCAAAGCCGAAGGTAATGTCTACACAGTGCTTGTTTTGTCTGATTGATGCCAAAAGACTTGCAGTTTACACTCACATAGACAGAATCCTCACACCGCAAAGCAAAAGCTGAAAAAAGGTTACGTTCAGCATTTATGCTTGAACACTAACAACAGTTGAAGGTTGGTTTTCCTCTCCTGAAAACACTGGTACTTTTTCCTGCTGCAGCACTGGGTCAAGGGTCAAGTCTGACCTCTATCTGTTGACAATCCATAATGTCCTGCTATGGGCCTAATATTGTAGTTATTGTGCCTGTAAATTGGTTTATCCAGGATCGCACTGTCCACAGTTTGTTCATATGTCATGTGTGTGTTTTTTGCCTCACTTTGCAACCCCTGGACTGAACCCAAGTCAGCTGGTGTTTTTCAATTGTGTTGCCACCTCTAATGGTTGTGTAACCCAGTGCTGAAACACCAGTCAAACCTGGAATAACTATACAGTTATTAAGTTTGCAGTGTGATTAAAGGACTAATAAATATAGGTTAAAAATTGGTTCATCAAGGGATTATTGAATGGTGTTGGGTGGTGGTGAGAAAACCAGTGCAACTGCAAAAGTGTTTTGTGACAGTGCGAGCAGCCAACCAGCTGATTTGGGTGGCTCTCTCGTTGGCTAGTGGGGTGGTCGTCCCTCCCTTGGGAGCGAACATCCTGTTTGAGCTCAACATCGTGTGATACACTTGGGAGCCTCGTGGTTGCGACACAGGAAATTTGGAGAATTTGTGAAACGAGAATATTGTGGAGTAGAGATTTTGAGCTGAAGGAGGGTTGTGGACCGGCCGGGACCTGGGAACCCACACTTTTGTGTTTTGCTAGCACGTTACCCCGCATTGGTCAGGTTTTTTGTCTTAGTTGGATTCAAACGGAGCTACTCTGCAGCAGCTGAGGATTGACACCTCTCCAGTACTGGATGGCGAGCCCGAGCCCAAGGAACTGAGCTCAGTGTTAGCTAGTAACTACACTGGTTACAAGACATTGAATTGAACAGGACACTGAACAGACTTAAGACATGAACAGATTTCCACACACTGAAACAAAGGACTGAACTTGATTTTATTTTGTTTTGTACGAGCGCTCAACTGTAGTTATTCATCTCTTGGCTCCCACGAATCTGGAAGATTCTGATCAGAGAAACTCCCTCTTGTACTGGCCTTGGTAGTGTAAAAAAAATCCCCTGTACCATAGTCACTGGTCACAGAAAAGTACTAGACAATTTGTAACACTAGCAAAGAGGGTTACATTTGCTTCATGTTAGATCTGCACTACCAGTCAAAAGTTTGGACACATTTTCCTGTTGAATTGAATGGGAATGTGTGTCCAAACTTTTGACTAGTAGTGTACCTTGAGAAATCCAGTTCAGAGGCTTCTGAAGAGGTTCTTCTTCTGAAGAAGAAGAGAAGAAAAAAAAAAAAAAAAAAACCCAAACACATAAGGGCGGCACAGTGGTTAGCGCTGTTGCCTAAGAAGGTTCTGGGTTCAAGCCCCAACCGATCCGGGGCCTTTCTGTGTGGAGTCTGCATGTCCTCCCTGTGCCTGGATGGGTTCTCTCCAGCTTCCTCCCACAGTCCAAAGACATGCAGCTTAGGTTGATTGGAGACTCTAAGTTTCCCGTAGGACGGAAACGCTCTTGACTGTAAACGCATAGTTTCGTTAAAACGAGCCCCCCCCTTCCCCCCAGTGTCAGCGGGGACCCCCCCCCCCAACAGCCCTATTCAGGAATATGCAGTATAGATAGTGGATGCATTGACAAACACAAAATGTATAGTTACACAAACAACAGTGACACAGTAGACCCAGGTTTTAGTCCAAAAATATCAGTCTCATGTTGGTCTTACACTTTGATATCAAGTATGTAGCCTAAGTATGGGTTGTTAATGTAAACCCCTTCAGTTAAGGCCCAAGTGTAGCAGTGTTTGGCCCAGTTCTATGACTTCCTGTAAACAATATATACCTCTGTGTGTGTGTAGGGTTTTTTCCTCTTCTCTATCTCATGTCCTCGTCGTCTAACAAATAGCATGAAGGAGGTTATAATTGGGAGGTCCAGAGCTCTGCCAGGTGGAACCACTTGTATCTGAATACAGGCTCTCGCTCTCTCTCAAGACCTCTCTTGTATATTGTATCTCTACCACTCCTTTTACTTGATGCAGTTTTCTTCTGTTATATTCTCGCTGTCCTACACGGACTCGCTCATTACACTTATAGTTCTGACTGCTTTAAAGTTCTGCGAGTTTGTATGTCTGAAATATTCTGCACAGCTTTTCTTTTTACAGTCTCTGAGTCATCCACTGTCTACTAACTACAGTACATCTCCAGTTCATTGCCATTAAAAGGTGTCCACCTCATTTATTGTCTTCATCCTTCCTTCATCCTGTCTTGTATTTCATCAGCTGTGGAAGAAGCAGTAGTAGAAGTAGCAGTAATATGACAATGTACAAATAATTTTGTTACAAGTTGTGCATTCAAAATTTATTTGTATCAAAATATGCTTAAAGTGCTCATTATGCCGAGTGGGGCATTTCAGAATAAGGTATACAGGATAATACTTCAATTAGTGATACATGTATTGAGGTTTGAGTTACTTCATGTAGTGGTTGCTTGGGCTCTTTTAATTATTTAATAAATAATTTTAATTTATTCTTCTTATTACCTTCAAGACAGAGGAAAAAGATTTTATTTTCCAGGGAACTCTACCAAAGTGGAGCACAAACTGCTATTAAGTCTTTGCATGTAAAAAGGCTTCAAAGTAGATTCTTTGATTGGCATTTCACTTCCTCATCCACATTAATGCAGACTTTTACCAGGGAGCTAATGTTGTATGAAAGAGTACGTGTAACCATTAAACAAGTGGTTACTGAGTGTAGTTTCCACACAGGTGTGGTGCCTCATATCTGTTTTGTGACCTTTTTAAGTCTTTGTTGTTGACTGTGTTCTTCTTCACCCTCCAGGTGATTGATGGAAAACTGGCTCCCTTCCTGTCCAAAGTGATCAAGTTTGCTAGCTCCCATGTTTTCAGCTGCAGTCTGTGTCGAGAGAAAGGCTTCATCTGTGAGCTCTGCCACAACGGACAGGTCATCTACCCTTTCCAGGAGAACGCCACCAAGAGGTACAGACCCTCAGATAACCCCTCTATGCATGTTTACTGGTTTGTCATAACTCATTCATTTAGATTTTATTTGATCAGATAAGATTTGACTGACTGGAGAATGTCAAACAAAAGATCCACATATGTTACTGATAGCTAGTAAAATTTTATTTGAGGGCAGTGTTTCAGTCTAACAGATCTTTGGCAAATAACCTTCATAAAGCAGAACAAACACATATGGACACAAATACATTCATCCCTGTTTGGCACAAAGCTTGAGTCAGTGCTGATTTATTAACCTTACACCCTCAGAAAGAAGGCTTTCAAAGGGGCGGATGTTAGACTCCAGGACTCAGGGATAGGTGTGTCATGTCATATGACCAACCAGTGCGCGCGCCATGAACACACAGCCAGTCCACGTTGCACTCGTAGTTTTCTTTAAGTTATGTTTGACTTCTGGCAATACGATTCTAGTAATGTTACACAGCTGTCGCTGACTGGGGTCTGAGTTTATTGGGTTGATGTAAACCAGCTACGTGTGATATTACAGGACAGCCTCATTTGTCTCGTCTGTATGGAGGATTTTGTAGAAGAGGCAAGTGTGCTAAATCACTTCACAAGTTGGAAGTTGTGGTGGTGACCCTGAAGTCATGTGACTGTTGTATAGTTCTTTTATAGCCTATAGAGTAGGTGTCCTTGAGTAAGAAGGACACCTACTCGATTCAGCCGCTTCTCTCCTGTCTTGCTGATATTTGTTGTTAAGTCATTTAAAGTTAAATGATGCCAAAACCAAAGTTGTAGTGTTTGGCCCGAATACGTCTGATGACCTTCCCCCGGTAGACTTAGGGTTTTTGGGGCAGTATGTGTGACCGGTGATCATGGACTTAGGTGTTAAAATAGACTCCAACTTGACAATGGAAAGCCAGATAAACGCGGTCGTAAAATCTGCTTTTTTTTTCTATCTTAGGCAGTTAGTGAAAGTAAAGTCCTTTTTGTTGCGGCAGCATTTTGAGACGTGATCCATGCGTTGTTACATCTCACATGGATTACTGCAATGTATTGTACTCTGGAGTCAGTCAATCGTGTCTTGCCCGCCTCCAGAGGGTTCAGAATGCTGCTGCTCGGTTATTGTAGGGGGGCATAAGAGGGACCATATAACTCCAGTTCTGGCATGTCTTCACTGGCTTCCTGTGCGTTTTAGACTTCGTTTTTAAGATTCTTTTATTTGTTTATAAGTCCTTGAATGGGCTTGCTCCTTCTTATCTTACAGAACTTTTACGTCCGTATAATCCGTCCCGGTGCCTTAGATCAGCTGATCAGCTTCTTCTGGAGGCACCGAGGGCCAGGCGGAAAACTAGGGGGGATAGAGCTTTCGCTGTGGTGGGTCCAAATTTGTGGAATACATTGCCTCTTTATATGAGGCAGGCCCCCTCATTGCCCATTTTTAAGTCATATTTGAAGACCTATTTGTACTCATTGGTGTTTGGACAGGACTGAGACTCTTTTTACCTTGATTGGACCCAAATGTATGTTTTATTGTTTTTATTTTTGTTACGATTTTAGATTTGTATTGTATGTTAAGCACTTTGGTCAGCTGTGGCTGTGGTAAAGCGCTATATAAATAAAGTTGAGTTGAGTAACAGGAACTTTTTACTTGTAGTGATTGTATTTCAGCTTCACAAATCATAAAAGTGGTAGACAGATAGAGAGATGGATACTTTATTGATCCTGAGGGAGATTCAGGTGTCATGTTCACTGGTGCTGAACAAACTGTTGTCACAAATCTTATTTTAATTCAAAAGCCTATTGAAAAATCCCATTTGCTTTTCGTCAAGGGAACCAGGGTGATGCTGACTTCTGGTTTGGCCTTCAGAAATACATTATCCCCAGGCACTCTTTAAACAAGAGGATGGCACAGTGGTGCAGTGATTAGCACTGCTAACCTGATGCCTTTTCGTGTTCTTCCTGTGCCTGCGTGGGTTCTCTCTGGATTCTCTGGCTTCCTCCAACAGTCCAAAGATATGCAGCTTAGGTTGACTGGGGCCTTGAAATCGCCGTTAGGAGTGAGTGTGGGTGGTTGTCTACATGTCAGCCCTGTGATAGACTGGCGACCTGTCCAGGGTGGACCCCGCCTCTCGCTGTGTTTTGTAAACTTGTTAAAAATAAAAGACTGAAATATCCCATTTATATACAGTAGATATTCAAAAAACCTGTTTTCACTTTATCATTGTGGAGTATTGTGTGATTGATGAGGAAAAAAAGTGAATCTATTTTAAGATGTTTGAACCATAACAAAATGTGAAAAACTTGAAAGGGTCTGAAAATGTTCAATACTGACTGTGTGTCTGCACAATCAGAGTCAAGTCCAACGTCTTGAGGACAAGTGAAAACGTCTTTGCTTAGATTTAAACAGAGGTGGACTGTTCTTTGTGCTGCCTGGGTTGAACCTGAGTCAGCTTGTGTCGTTGCTACATTTACTAAATAAATTCTGCACAAGTTCTTCAGAAAGCCTTGGATTGTATCAGGAAGTTCAGGAGGTCAGCAGTAGTAGTTGTAGTAATGTGCAATGTTACTGCCTGCACTAGTAGCCAGATGCATTTTCAGGCCCTCAGGTCGACTGTGGAAGTGTTTTGGTGCTTTGTACTTGACTTCTTGCTTCTATATTTGTAAGGACCGATTTCAGAGGACCCAGAGAGTGAACATGCTTTTGTCAATGTGGACTTCTTTTGTTAAGACTCAGTTCACCCTCATTATAAAAACATGCAGTCTTTTCACATGTCCCTCTTTTGTTGCTCTGCAGATAGATTTGGTTTTACCTGACCAGCTTTTGAGATATCTGCCTCTATTTTATTTTGGCTCTCAAAGCATAGGAGAGAAATTCTAATAAAGTCCTGGCTAAGCCCCAGAACGTGCTGCAAACATGTTGCTTAAGAATTACTTTCTACAAAAGAAACAGTCCTAAAGAATACAGATTACAGTGATTCAATGGAATATCCATCATATCAGGGACATTGTGCTGCTGGGGTTTTTTTAAACATATTTTAATGTTGTGAGCACCACAAATTTGGTACACCTCTGTTTTATTGAGGTGGAGGCAGAAATCTTAGAGACTGATATCCAAAACCTGGACACATAAAACCAAACCGCTTTAAAGGCAAGACATGAATGTCCTCACATGTGTTTATGAGTAAGTGTCCGCGTGTGTGTGTGTGTGTGTGTGTGCGTTGGGTGAAGGGAATTTCACCACATGGACATCAGCTGATCATGACTGGTTTCTAGAAGCTGTGCAGGGAAGCACCGCAGTATCAATCACACACATACACACCTTCCTCGTTGAGTTGTTTTATGATGCGTCAAGGAAGTGTCTGGTGACTTAGTCATTGATGGTACAGGAAATGAGCAATAACTGGATCCATGAATTGACAGTCTCCCATACAGTCAAGTTTGTAATGTAGTGTATTGTATTGGGACCTTTGCCATCATTTGCGTCAGTAATAACACTGTACTTGCCAGGTGAATTGTTGGACTTGGTGTCAAAGATGGGCCGAAAAACATGAGCATTCAGATACTGTAAACACCAACACTTTAGTTTATCTAAACTACTCATAATTGTGATTTCCTATCTCATAATTGGGAGATCTTTTCTCCTTCTTCTTTCGGCTGTTCCCATTAGGGGTCGCCACAGCGAATCATCTGTTTCCACCTAACTCTATCCTCAGCATCCTCTACTCTCACCCCAATTAACTTCATGTCCTCTTTTAGCACATCCATATATCTCCTCTTTGGCCTTCCTCTTGACCTCTTGCCTGGCAGCTCCATCTCCAACATCCTCCTACCAATATAACCACTACCCCTCCTCTGCACATGTCCAAACCATCTCAATCTGGCCTCTCTGACCTTGTCCCCAAA